CTGGGCCGTTATGGCGCACAGGGATGTGGGCAGCTCGCGCTCAACCACAATTAACGAGGCAGGTCTCATACGTGAGAGGCATGGTTAAAGAACGGCTTCAAGAACAAATAAAAGAGGTACCCCAAGCCAAGTTAAGATACTCAAGGAATGGATATAATGGGTGTATTATGCTTCGTGTTGCTTGCTATAGAGGTAAAACTGTTTGATTATTTGATTGGCTCATCTTTAGCGTGCTTCATTGTCTGCAATAGAGGTAAAGCTGCTTAGATGCTGGATCTACTCATCTGGGTGGAACAGGGGCTGTTGTGGTGACAATCTACAACACACACACACACACAGGCACAACTCCGCCCTTGGCACGGCCATAATGGCCTGGACAGTATTATATGCCCTATGTGATGCTAAGTGGGTTGGATAGTACCATTGGACTGGACCGCACCAATGTAGGCCGGGGTATAATATGCGGACAGGATGGTTACTAAGTTACTAACAGTCTTCCACAAAAAAAAAAAAAATCACTTTTATTTGTTTGTTTTTTACTTCATTGGTTAATCTTCAGTTTGTTCAATTTGCTTTCTTAGCACTATGCTATCATATGAGCATGGAATTCGACATTTATTGTGGGATTTAGGGCACACCTTAGATTTATCAAAAGTGTACATAGTTCAAGTGGTAGAACGCATGTTTTGCAAGTATGAAGTTATCGGTTCAAGTCCGATCGTCTCCAATTTCCCCATGAGCCCACGTAGCTCAGGTGGTAGAGCATTCCCTTGGTAAGGGAAAGGCCTCCGGTTAAGTCCGGTCGTAGGCTCCATCTTAAATTAAAAAAGATATATAATATCTACGTAGCACCGTGTTCGCATTTGGAGGCGAACGCGAACAAGCGCCAAAAACCCTCCGAACGCTAACATAAAAAATATATTAAAAAAAAAAAAAATCTCTGAAAGATCTGAAAAAAATATATGTTATGTAAAATAACAATACAAACAACTTTTGCCTTGGAGTCATGTTCAAATTCATAGCCCATCATGAGTTAAAAATCAAAAACCTTTTTTTTTTTTTTTTTTTTTACGGAAAAAAATTATGTTCGCCCGAACATGTTTGCGAGCTATTTGCGTGGACGTGAAGGGGCGCCAACACGTTCGCCGTTCTACGCATATATATATATGATGAGTCGGTGAAACTCCGACGAAACAGTTTGTCACAGCCCCTCGTTTGTTGTCCTCTTCTCTCTCTCTGCCTTCGGTTTACCGGGCAGTTCTGTTTGTGACGATATATATATATTATATATTATATAGACGAAACAGTTTGTCACAGCCCCTCGTTTGTTGTCCTCTTCTCCCTCTCTGCCTACGGTTTACCGGGCAGTTCTATTTGACGAATATATATACGAGCGGCAGTGGTCGGGGC